TTTCCTTAGGGTCTCACTGTTTTACACAGGCTAGAGCACAGTGGTGCCATCATAGCTCACTGTAACCTCAAACTCCTGGGCTCAAGTGATCCTCCCACCCCAGCCTCCCAAGTAACTGGGACTACAAGGCATTTTTTTATTTTTTGGTAGAAGCAGGTGCTCACTATGTTGCCAGGGCTGGTCTTGAATTCCTGCCTCAAATGATCTTCCCATCTTCTCTCCTCCCACAGTGCTGGGATTACAGGCATGAGGTACTGCGTCTAGCCTCTTCTAGCATATTTTTGATTTCCAAGAGTGTTTTCATTCTCTGAATGCTCATTTTTTTAGTTGCCACCTGTTGTTCTTTCATTTGTAATGTCTTTTCCTTTTTTCTCTGAGAACAGCAGTCACTTTTTTAAAAAAGTTTTCTTAAAAAAACAGCGTGGTCTCTCTTCTCTTCTAGCTGTTGGCTTATATGTAAGAGAGGGGGACCACAGATCCGCCTGGCAGCTCTGGGCAGGTAGATAAGGGGTTTATTGGCTGTGACAACAAACCAGGGCTGGAAGGGACATGGGGGAAGCCCACTCCCCAAGGAGGCCCTTTTCTTAGGGGATGTGAGCAAGCAGCTTGAGTATGAGTGGATACTGCAGACAGATCCATAGGGCAATGTGGCTGGCCAGTTTGGGGGCACCCTCCACTGTGAGCATGTTTAGGTCCATCCTCTGAATCCTACAAGAAGGTACCTTTAGCTTCCTGCCAGCATCCTTGGGAGACAGGTTGACATCTCAGCATCCGGTGGGACGATTTACATAATTCCCCTGACTTACTCAGTAGTTTCCCACCCTTAACATAGCCTTCTGCAAGGATGGAAGAAATCCAGGAGTCAGAGTCACAGCAGTACATACTGTTGGCTCAGAATTCTGTGCAGAGCCTACAGCAGCAGCTCTGCCCAGCATCAGCTTCTGAAACAGCCTCTCCATCCTGGTTGGTGCCCTGCCCATTCACCTGCATGGGCAGAGGTACCGGGTACCTCCAACTCCTGAGTTTTTAGAACCTTCTTAGCCAGGTGCAGTGGCTCGTGCCTGTAACCTCAGCACTTTGGGAGGCCTTGGCAGTTGGACTGCTTGAGTCCAAGAGTTTGAGACCATCCTGGGCAACATGGCAAAACTGTGTCTCAATGAAAAAATAATACAAAAAATTAGCATGGTGGCACATACCTGTAGTCCCAGCTACTTGCAAGGCTGAGGTGGGAGAATCACCCAAGCCACGGAAGTCAAGGCTGCAGTGAGCTGAGATCGTGCCACTGCACTCCAGCCTGGGCA